TGAATCATCCCTGCATCTCTGGAATAAAGCCAACTTGATCAAGGTGGATGATCTTTCAGTTGTGTGTCTGTATGAGGCTTGCAAGTATCTTGCTGAGAATTTTTGCATCTATTTTCATTAACAATATGGATCTATACTTTTTTTTATTGTATTTTTACCTGGCTTTGGTATTAGAGAGATGCTGGCTTCAAAGGAGGAATTTGGAAGTTCTCCCTCATTTCTATTTCTTTGAATAAATTAAGTACTATTGGGTGTAGATCTTCTTTAAATGTCTGATAGAATTCTGCTGTATATCCATCTGGTCCTGGCCTTTTTTTAGTTGGGAGGTTTTGTATTACTGTTTCAATTTCTTTTTGTGTTATGGGTCTGTTTATGGTATTAATCTCTTCTTGGTTTAGTTTTGGTGGTTCTCATGCCTTTAGATATCCATCCATTTCTTTTACGTTTTCAAATTTAGTAGCATATAGGTTTTTAAAGTATTTCCTTATAATGTTCTGTATCTTTCTGGTGTCTGTTGTAATGTTTCTCCTTTCATCTCTGATTTGGAGGTGCTCTTTCTTTTGGTTAACTAGGCTAGCAGTTTGTTAATTGTGTTTATCTTTTCAAAGAACCAGCTCTTGGATTCGTTCTTTGTATTGTTTCCTTTGTTTTGATTTCATTAATTTCTGCCCTGATTTTTGTTATTTCTTCTCGTCTGCTGGGTTTCGGTTTCTTTGTTGTTGCTTTTCAAGTATCTTGAGTTGCAATATTAAGTCATTTATTTGTGTTTTTTCCTATTTTTTGATGTAGGCACTTAGAGCTATAAACTTCTCTCTAAGGACAGCTTTCAGCGTGTCCCAGAGGTTTTATTGTGTTGTATTGTTCTTTTCATTTAGTTCCAGGAATACTTTCTTTTCTTTAATTTCTCTTGACCCATTCATCATTCAGGAGTGTGTTGTTTAATCTCCACGTGTTCAAGTGGTGACTAGAGCTTCTTCTGGTGTTGATTGTAAGCTTTATTGCATTGTGGTCTGATAGAATGCATGGAATTATTTCAATCTTTTTGATTTGTTGAGGTTTGTTTTGTGCCCCAGTATATTTTGGTCGATTTTGGAGAAGATTCCATGGGGCGCCAAATAGAAAGTATGCCCTTTGGTGCTGTATGGAATACTCAGTACATGTCTGTTAGGTCCATTTGATATATGGCATTGTTTAATTCAGATGTCTCTGTTAACTCTCTGCCCTGTTGACCTGTCTAATGGAGACAGTGGGCTATTGAAGTCCCCTACTACTACTGAGTTGGGATTGATCTGGGTCTTAGAGTCCTGTAGTATTGTTTTTATGAAGTTGGGTGTACCAGCTTTTGGAGAATATATGTTCATGATTGTAATATCTTCTTGGTTTATTGTTCCTTTGATCAGAATGAAGTGACCCTCTTTATCACTTCTGATTAGTTTTAAAGTCTATTTTGTCAGATATTAGAATTGCAATGCCTGCTTTTTTCTTAGTACCATTCACTTGGTAGTCATTCCTTCTTCAGCTCTTTCTATTGCTTCCAGAACTCTCTGAAGGGGTTTTTGTGGACATGAATTCCTTCAGCCTGTTTATGTCATGGAAGATTTTTCTTTCCCCTGTGACTATAATAGACATTTTGGCTGGGTATAGTAATCTGGATTGGCATCTGTGATCATTTAAAACTGGGAATACTTTGGTCCAGGCTCTTCTAAGCTTTCATAGTTTGCACTGAAAAGTCAGGTGTAATCTACAGGTGTAATCCTGTATATGTGACTTGTTCTTCTCTTGCAGCTTTCAGTATCCTCTCTTTTCTGCATGTTTAGTGTTTTTACTATGATGTGCCATGGAGAGTTTCTTTGCTGGTCCTGTCTGGTGTTCTATATACTTATTGTATTTGTATGGGCATATCTTTCTTTAATTTTGGGAAATTTTCTTCTACGATTCTGTTAAGGATCTGGTCCATGCCATTATCTTGGGATTCTTCTCTTTCCTGTATGCCGGATTCACAAGTTTGGTCTTTTGGGGGTCTCACACAATTCCTGCATATTCCATTCTTGTGCTTTCTTAAATTTTTCATAATCTTTGCTTGAATGGTCTAGTTCGTCCACTTTATCTTCCAGTCTTGATATTTTGTTTTCCATTTCATTCATCCTATTGGTGAGGCATTCTCCTGTCGTTTCTAATTGGCTCACTGAGTGCTTCACTTCCTTCTTCATTTCAGCCTAGTATTCTTCAATATTTCTAGCTCTTTTCTGAATTCAGAAGTTTATCCCTATTTTCCTGCAGTTCTTTACTTTCTTTGTGTTCTTTAAATTGACTGAATTTTTATCATGTTTATAATTGTTCTTTTGAGTTCCATGTCCTGCATTATCTCTAGGGTGTTCTCACTGTACTCCTCTAGAGGACTAATTGCATGTGGTGGGGGTATGTTATTTTTGTTTTTCATGTTATTATTTTTTCTCTGTGATTTTGACATGTGAATTTCTTTTGTAGTTTCTGATTCTTGTGTGAGACTCAAGCCTTCAAGTTTAGGTCTGCTTCTTTTTGTGAAGTTTATGTGTCTTTGTGTTTTACTTTTTGGGCATGAAAAGCTGGTTCCTCTAAGCTTCCCGGTCTCTCCTTTGATTTTATATTGGAGTGGCCAGATTGCTTTTTTCTTTAGGAGTTCCCACAGAGGCCCAAATCAGATGAGGATCAGATGCTCTCAAGCTTTCTCCTAAGGTCTGGATCCCTCCAGGAAAGATGGTATCCTCAGGAATTTCAGGGTTGGACTGGCCTGGGAGCAGGGCCCAGGAAAGATGATGGTCTTGGACAGCTGGTGGCTGTGCCACTCAGAGATGTAAAGGGAGATGGGGACAGGAAGAGGCCCCAAGGGCTCCTGGGGACTGCAGGGAGGAACAGGGTTGGTCTGGATGCAAAGGATCAGGAAGCCGAGAGGTCAGTCCTGGTGTCCAGGAAAGAGGCTGGTGGGTTGTGTAGTCCAGGGAAGCAGAGGGAGGTGAGGGCTGGATGAGGCCCAGAGGGTTCTGGGGGACCACGACAAGGAACTGGGTTGTTCTGAATGCAAAGCATCAGGAAGCAGTGGTAATTCCCCCAGTGTCTGGGGTGCCAAGACAAGGAATTGGACAGTATCCAGGCTAGGAGAGATGGGCGCAGGAGGTGGGATGGTGAATGAGGCTGGGGGAATCAAGGTGTGGAGGGTGCGATAGACTTACTCAGATAGAAGCTGGTGGGTTGTGCAGGCCCAGGGAAGCAGAGGGAGGTGAGGGCGCAACCAGGCCCATAGGGCTCCTGGGGACCACGAGAAGGAACTGAGTTCATCTGGATGCAAGGGATCGGGAAGCAGTCATGGTTCCAGGCCGAGGGGTCAGCCCTGGTGCCCAGGAAAGAGGCTGGTGGGTTGTGCAGCAGGGAAGCAGAGGGAGGTGAGGGTGGGAGCAGGCCCAGAGGGCTCCCGGGAGATAGGCTGCCGGGTTGTGCAGCCCAGGGAAGCAGCCAAGATCTTCTTTTCTTTAATTCCATTCTGGTCACCTGCTTCTTTCAGAATTAAGATCACTTATATTTAAGGTTCTTATTGGAAGATACATACTAAATTTTTCTTCATCAGATCTGCTGGTTTACTGAATTAATGTCGATAGTGTATCCATATGCTCTCTGGCTTGTAATTATTTCTTGATTTATAGTCTACAGTATTCATCAAACAATTAACTGGTACCCCTCTCAAGTTGGTGTATGGTTATAGCATTTCAAGGTAAAGGGAACAAACCCATTATTTCTTTTCCAATGCTAGTCTGCAATGTAGAAGTTACTTTCAGACAAGAAACACTGGATTTAGGCCTTTTGAGAACTGTAGGTTTCTCCTGTGCCTGGATGTCCCTAGGATGTTTCCAGGTTTACCTTGGATATGGCCTCAGGCTTTTCCCCCCAACAAGGAGTTGGAGTTACAGTCTGATTTGTGGGTGTGTGTGTGCATGTATGCATGCGCACATGCATTACAGCTTTGTTTTTCCTGCTTTTTAGCTGTTCTGGTGCTCATTTACTGATTCTTAATGCTCTTCTTCAGGATACTGGTTTTAAGCTACTTATTTCCAAATTTATATCTGTGCTATTTATACTCATGACCACTATCAAGTCTATGGTTCATAACCACCTATGTATTGCATATCAAGTTGACTTCCTTACAACTCAGTTCACTGTTTACATTCTTTGTCTCTTATTTATCATACATTATTTTGGATTCACTTTTCTGGTTTTGTTTTGTTTTGTTTTTTGACAGTGTCTCCCTAGTCACAGCCCATCTGGAAGTCATGATGAGAACCAGGGTGGCCTCAATCTCCTAGAGATTCACCTGCCTCTGCCTCCCAGGCTGGGATTAAAGGCACACGCCACCACACCCAGCATCTGATTCACTTTTCTATGTCACCGAACACAAGTTCATGTAGAGGACATGCATTTGTTTGCTTACTACTGATATCAACACAACTACAAAGACAAGTGCCCATAAGCTAATCAAAGAGCAAGTACTTAAAGAAAATGTTAACAAATGTCTGATTTTAATCATAATTGCAAAAAGAAGGGCAACTGAGAATTTAGGGAAAGACTCTAACCATCAAAATTGTCTATGAAGGGGGCTGGAGAGCAGTCTCAGAGGTTTAAGAGCACTGGCTGTTCTTGCAGAGGACCCCTGTTTGGTTCCCAGTACCAACACGGTGACTAACAGTCCTCTGTAATTCCAGTTCCAGGGGATCAATGCCCTCTTCTGGCTGCTACGGACATTACACATATGAATGCACGTACATAGATGCAAACAGAACACTCATACACATTAAAAGAAAAAGGTCTATGAAGATTCATGGTAAATCTAAGAAAACATATCTCAATAAGAAAAACATTCAGAGTTGGAAAGTGTATTAGACAAATGTCTCATGTGTGAGATTAGACATGATTGCCAATATCTGATGAGTTCTCTTCATCCTAACCTCTATGACTAGTATGCACTGACTTACCTGGGGTGTTCTGGTCTAAGGCTTCTCCTACAATCCATGATCCAAGTCTTTGCTCCAAATTGAAAATCAAGTCAGGTTTGGTCTCACAGTGTCCTATAAATAGGAAATATAAGATCTGTGCAACATTAAGTTAGGTACAGAGAAGAAAGACGAGATCTCTATTTAATTTAATGATGGGGCCAATTAGTTTTGATAGTTTACCTTCCATTCTTCAGAACTGGGCCATTATAATTAAGAAACATTAAACTGCATAATAAATAACAATGACAAAAACAGTGATTTAAATAAAATGTAAGGAAGCACAAGAGAATAAAAGAAAATATAATTACATTAGAGAGATAACTTGATATTTATGAGAAACTGAGCAGAGACAAAAGTTATATAAAAGAACCAACAAAGGCTGTAAGATGTCTCAGCCCATAAAGGCACTTGTTGCTAAGCCTGAGTTTGATCCCTAGGACCCACATGAAGGGAGGTTCCTCCACAAGTTGTCCTCTGACCTCCCCATGTACTCTGTGGCACATGCATGCATGGACCCTTGTGTACAGATACCATGCACACATATACATACACAATAAATAAATAAATGTAACTTAAAAATCATTTTAAAAAATGGCTGCATTTGGTGGTGCACCTTTAATTCCAGCACTTGGGAAGCAGAAGCAGGCAGATGTCTGTGAGATTGAGGCCAGTCTGGTCTACATAGCAAGTTCCAGGCCAGCTAGAGCTATGGGGAGACTGTCTCAAAAAGAGCAAAAAAAAAAAAAAAAGAAAACCGTAAAAGAAAAAAAATCTGAAAGACTCAACAGCAAAACTGATCAGAAAAAAAAAAAAAAAAAACGAATTTCTGAGACTGAAGAAGGTGAAAAAAAGATTTGACAAGGTCTTTAATACACATGTACCATCGACAAGCAAGCAAACAACTGAACTATGTATATTCCAGAAGGAAAAGAAAACATATGAAAGCATACATTCAATGATGGAATTAAGTCATGGCAGAGAGATGGACAGTCCCTAGTAGACTTGATCAAATATGATTCTAAGCCAAATTATAGTCAAACTGACTAAAGGCCAAGACAAAGAGAAAATCTGAAAAACTGTAAGAGAAAAGCCAAAATGTTAGTATGAAAATATCCATTAAGCGGAATGACCAAATTCTCAACACTTTAGAGACTAGTATCACAATGAACTAGACATAGACACAACAGAGAAAAATTTAGAGCAATATCCATAATGAACACAGATGCAAAATTTTAAACAAAATAGCAAATCAAATCTCACAGCACATAAAGAACTATCAACCCTAATCATCTCAGGAAGGGATAAAACAATCACCATATGGAAATTCAAAACTACAGTATCAAAAATTGGAGAATGAAAAGTTATGAGAGTATCACAACTGATGTATAAAAGAGACCAGATAAAATCCAATGCCTTATCTTGATAAAAAATAAATAAAAAAACAAAACAAGAAAAACCTTCAATGTGTACGACACAGAAGGCATACCTTCTTCACACAATAAGGGTTATGTAGAACAAACCCACAACCTACAGCAGGAAAACCCAAAAAGTACTTCTAAAATCCAGAATAACACAAGGATCTTTCATAACTATTCTTTTTTTAATTGATTTCTATTATTTTATGTGTATGAGTATCCTGCCTGCATGTATATGTGTACCTATGTCACGTAATGCCTGTAGAGGCCAGAAGAGGGCATCGGATCCCCTGAAACTGAAAGTATGGGCAGTTGTTAGCTGCCACGTGAGTGCTGGGAACGGAACTTGGGTCCTCTGGAAGAGGAGCCAGTGCTCTGAATCTCTGAAACATCTCTCCAGCCCTCTCATTACTGTTCTTAGTATAGTGTTATAAGTCTCAGACACAGAAATAACAAAAACAAATGAAATAAAGAGAATCCAAAACAGAAAGTCAAAAGGTCCTTACTTGTGGAATAAGAGGTTTTATTTATATGTATATAATTTATGTATATATATATATATCATAAAGGTCTGAAGAAAAAAATTAGAATGGAAAAACCAACTTAGTAAGATTGCAGTATATAAAGTAAAAGGTACAAAAACCTAGTCTATTTGCACAACAGAAGTGCTGAGAAAGATATTCAGAATGCAAACCAATTTACAACAGCTACTAAAAACCAGTAAAACCACATCAAATTGCTAATAAATGTATATCCACTGAACGCTGGGGAAAGATACTAAAGATGCTAAAAAAAAATGGAAATACATTATCATGTGTATGGTTCAAAGAATGTGTAAGTAGGGTGTGGTGGTGCACGCCTTTCATCCCAGCACTTGGGAGGCAGAGGCAGGAGAATCTCTGTGAGATTGAGGCCAGCCTGGTTTACACTTTGAGTTCCTGGCCTGCTGGAGCTA